TGCCTCCACTGACTTTGCTTGTCGGAAGCTGGTTGGGAAGGTTAAAAATATGATCACATGTCTCTGGGGATGCTACAGTCTTCACAAATACAGGTCAGTTGCCAAGTGTCCAAATTTTGATCACAGGATCCTGGGGATGCTGTGGGTGTAACAAGTGTGAGGACTGGTTGGAAGTCACTTTTTTCAGACTGCTGTAACTTGAAATGGTCGGTAAACAAATGGTTGAAATTTGAGGACTACCTGTATAAAATACAGTGCATGGTTTTGCTACCCATGTAAACCCAGCCAATTGGAACTAAAGCAACCAGACTTAATTTAATAAGCTCCGTTGAGCTTAATTGAGCTTAAGCTCCGTTTAATAAGAGGGTTGCAGGAGGCTGTGACAGCAGAAAACGGAGCTCAGGAGCCTGTTTTTGCCAGCAGAGTGCTTGGGCCACCACAGGTGCCCCCGATAGGAGTGACATCGAGCTGGCCATGCCTACCCTGGCTAGGCCTACCCCAGCCCCCCATGGTCAAACACAACCCTGATGCGGCGCTCAATGAAATCGAGTTTGACACCCCTGATGTATAGGAAGCAGGTCAAAATAGGGTAGTTTTTTTCAGTTCCTAAATTTTCAACAGTCTTCAGATATTGGGTGCATTCCATTCATGTTCTTAACATACTGATGTTGCCTTGAAGTCTTTACAAAATAAATTAAGAAGACAAACTAAGTACTAGTGCATTTCTTCTGTACTGTTTGCAAAAATGCTTTGTCATTTGGTGAAACTCAAACATATTTATGTAACTAGATAGCGTTACTGCCAATATTTTGCATATGACATGGTTAAACCCCCCTCCCAACCCATTTTTCATATATTTCTTGGGCTATGGGGCAACCTAAGTTATTATTCCTTTGAATTTAACAGTAGCTCCTCTTGGTTTTCATGGAAATGCTCTTCCAAAAAGCAGGACAAACAGCCCCAAGAAAAATGAGATATCCACATTGGAGCACTGATGCCAAAGTCAGCATCAAAAGGCTGAAAAGGATAAGCAAAAGAGACAAAGCCCGAGAATTAGCAGTTGCCATCCTCCTATAAAGCACAAAAGCAGCAAAGCATGATAGTGAATGATGTATAATAGGAACAGGAAGACAGACTGCTTACAAGGGGTTACATTATTTGTCAAAATACAATTCAATTACGAGCTACAGTTCAGGATTGTCTTCTGAGGGAGAGAGCAAATCTGAGCCAGGAGGTTCAGAAGGTTTCAAGAACTGAAAACCTGGTGCTTTGGATCTTTCCCTAAAGTGCTTTAATCCCAAAACATAGATTTAGCCCGGCATTAGATAAGACCAGGAGTTAAAGGAAAAACTCATACAGTTAAGTTTGGACTGAACGACATGCTGAGCCAAAGCTGAACTGCTGAAAGCACAATCAATCTGAAGTTGGTTCCAGCAATCTTGTCTTAGTATATTTCAGAGGAGCTGCAAAAACACCCTGTGGGGTTGCAGCCGAATCGTGCAGTGATCTGTATGATATTCTGTTCAGATGCTGAACGTTTCATAAAGAATCAGCAAGCAGCTTGCTTTGCACTCAGGTGTCTTGAAAAAGAGGCAGGAACCCCTTCTAAAACTTCCCACTGTCTTTTGAAAACAGAAGGAAAAAAAAACTGGTCAGAACAGTTTCCCTTATCCCGATTTCTCCATTTGTGCTGGATTTGGAGATTCCCATAATCTCAAAGCAGGATTATGAAAAGTGAAGTCTAACACAACTGGAATGTGCCAGTTGGGAAGGCTGCTTTAAAGAACATTGTTCATGTCAGTACAGTACAGTACATGTCATCATGTAATGATGATTTAATAGCTGACCAGCTGCTGTAAGGCTGTAAACTGAAATGATGATGCAATGAGAATGAGTCAGCAGAGTTATCACTTTAAGAGGCTGTCTATATAAGAGAGGCCCTATGAGGGCGTATCTCTCTCTCTGTATGTGCTTCCGTGCTATAATTGATGATTGATTGCCTGACTTTACCTAGTATGTTCATATATATATTCCTTATAGATAAACCACTATTTGAAAGACAAACCTCTGTTTACTGCATTTTGCTCCTGGGTAGTCTCAAAATAGTCACACTGTGTGCACTCTGTAGTCACACTATAGTCTGTAGTCTGTAGTCACTCTGTAGTCACTGTGTGCACTCTGTAGTCACACTTTGTGCATTCTGACAGTTCAAAAATCAAGACCATCAAATTTAAGTTCACATAGGGAAAAAAATTCCTTGGCTCCAAACAATATAATTTTTATAAAGCATATTTTTATATAGCCATGCCTGGCATGATGCTTTGACACCAACTTTTCTATCTCACTACCTCCAATGCTATGGGAGGCATGTTCTCACCTCAGGATTAAGATATGATTCTAGAATTTAGACCTTTCTTCAATCCCATTGACTGTCATTGAAATCATTGTCATTGACTGCCTGCAATTTCTGCAGGTTCGAATCTTACCAGGCTCAAGGTTGACTCAGCCTTCCATCCTTTCTAAGGTAGGTTAAATGAGGACCCAGTTTGTGGGGGGCAATAAGCTGACTTTGTATAAATATACAAAAGTATGAAGGCTATTGCTTAACGCATTGTAAGCCGCCCTGAGTCTCCAGAGAAGGGCGGCATATAAATCAAATTAAAAAAAAAAAATCACCAACACCTTGTTCCAATATCACCACCAAATTGTGAGTCAGATGGTCCCATCATCCATCCATCCCCTAGTGATAAACGAGCTAACCAAGAGGGTGGAACGGAAATGTTCAGTATTGCCTGTATCTTTTTTTTCTTTTTAAAGAAATCAATTTTATTGAATTTCAAATATAAAATAAGAACCACAACAAAAGATTGGGAAGGTGGGAGGAGGTCAAGGGGAAAGAGAAATTTAAACGTGACAAAACTTGCAACAGTTTATATTTAATTCTTGGTTTCATACCTTGCCGTACAAATATGGAAATATATTTCTGCCATTGTTTAAATAATACATCAGTTGCCAATGTTGGTATAGTATGAGATAAAAATAACATCCTGTGTCAACAGCATCTCCTGTATCCTGCCCATTTAGCAGCTATTGTTGCTTCAGCAACCCTCCCATATCAAGTATTTGCCTTCATGCTTGACAATATAATGGGTTTGTTGGCGTATTTGCTACCTTCTTGCTCAGAGAAGATTGTTCAACTCCCTACGAGCTGAATGTTTTCTCACTGACCAATCTTGAGTAGGATTTCTAATCAGTTTAATGTCTGAGAGAGCTGCAGAATGGACACCTGCCTTTCTGATTTAGAACAGCCTGGATTTGCATCAAATACGTGTCAAATCTGGGGAGAAGGGGGACATTTTGTAAGCAGATACCGTGAATAGTCCAGGTCTTGATTTTCAGGAAAAGAGGCCCGCCTAGGACTCAAAAGCTAAGAGGCTGGGACACCCAGAAATTCAGTGGAGCCAGACAATTGCACAACTTGCTTTCATTTAGTTATTCCTCTTACATTACAGACCCAGACAGATCCAGAAATAAAACAGCAGGCTGTAGTAGACTCCGATGCCCCTGGCAACTTCACTGAATCCTCTGTTGCACACAAATATGCTCTCCCCAGGCAGTCTATCAATCTGCTAGTTTGGGCTGAAACTATTGACGGCTGGCTCTTACGCTCAGGACCCATAGATCGATCTTCTTCCCATCAACAGTCATCAGGAGTTCCTGTATGACAACCCCTCCTCCCCTTCCCCGAATCCCCCCTGGCCCCTCCTGTTTATGGACCTGACTTTTCTTTCCCTCCCTTCACCGTTACTTGGCTCATGGGCAGCCTGATCCCCCTGTGGCCCCCTCTCATTGAAAGTGCAAATCTGAGGGAGATGCCCCCTCCCATAGTTTTTTTTCTCCCACAGGGGTTGCTTTATTGCTGTGCATTCTTGCCTAGAATAAGGAAAGGCTGGGGAACATGGACAAAAGGAGGCAGGAGGGAAAAGTGAGAAAAAGAGAAGGAAAAAAGCAAGCAAAGCGTTTGGCATTGAACAGCCAGTTTGCACAAACTAGATGGAATTGGCTGGATTACACTCCTTTGTATTCACTCCAAGATATTTGACTTGCCTGCTTGTTTTAGCGATAAAACTGAGTAGAATAGTAAACTATTGGTCATTTCAAAATATGCTTCCTTTGATTCCATACTGTGTTGGATGTCACTTTTATTTTAGCTCATTTTAGATAGGAGAAAGAAAGGAATATAGTGCACACATATTTCATTCCAAGTCTCAATCCAATGCATTTTGAAGAAAAACTTTCCTTCGGGGGACTGTGAATAATAGAAATGATATCTTTACAATGCATTTATCAAATAATAACTACAAATGGAAACACACATCAAGCAATATGAAATAATATTCATAAATGAACTAACCAGGAAAAGAAGGTAACAAAAAAGAAAATGTAAAATCAAATTAGAGCAAAACTAAAAACATAAAAAAACCTATGAGCACAGCCCAAATTAAATGCAGTGTGACAAAATAAAAACAAATGAAGCATATTATGTAGAAATGTAGCAAATAATATAAAATTGCTGCCAATTATACAAAGTATGTGCACACATAGCTCTATGGTCAGGATAGGAAACATATAACTTCTCATTTTGCTTCATTTCCTCTGTCTGCTCATTTTTTTCTCCTACATTTCCCCCCAAAATATATCACCATTTTCGGCTTCATTTGAAAATTGTCCACAAAGAGGAGAATATTGCAAATACCTGAATGCCACCTTCCCGCTGGCGGGTCCTACTTAGTTGTCCCATGTAAAAGTTTGCTAGAAGAGTCCATTTTAGAAATGTGCAGAAAATGAATTAATTTGGCCTGGTTAATCTGCCCAGGACAGCTCATAGTTGACACAAAAGCCTGAGGTGATGGGAGCCTGCAGCCACAAATGGCAACTAACACTGAGAATTTGGATGCCATCAGACCAAGAACAAAATGAAGCATCCTAGCTACATTCACTTATCTTCCTGAACCATGGTTTATTTGAACACAATCTGTTGAATGGTATTGAAGTTAGATTCACACAACACATTACCACAAAACATTCAAATTCTATGGATTAGGTCTATAGAGTCGCCTTTTGGGATCTTCTCCCGGAAGCATGTATGGAACCATCAAACGCTGCATCTCCCATTCTCGATGCAGAGAGCATAGCACCCAGAGCATACGATGATGGATGGTGTTGAATGTTGCTGGGAGTTGTAGGGGAATTAGTTTTTCCTTAGCCCTTTTCCTATCTATCCATCATGGTTACTAAGTGGTATTTGTGTTGCAACCAAGCTAGTAACCAAGCTAGTAACTAAATTAAAATGCATCAACATCATTAAAGAAAGCTTGGAGTTATTTGGCCATCATACCATTCCAGCATTTCATCTGAAAGAGAATGAGAGAAACAGAAAGAGAAAGAATATTAGCTTTGACTAGCTGATATTGTTCTGATCCTCTGGGAGGATCAGGGAGGCTATTTTCCAGTCTGTCAAAAGGTGATCTTAGTTATTTGGTCTATTATTTTCTTGAACTGTTTAAATTGTTAGGTCAGGTAGGCTCTCACATAGCTGTTGGAGGAAGTCTCAGATCAAGTGGTCAAACTCTCTTATCACTTACATCTCCATGTGTACTTGAGGATGTGTTTGGATATGGAGGGGGAAGAATCTGTTACCCATTCTTAACTGAATTATGAAACCAATCAAGCCATGAAGCTATTAACTATTCTCTTCTTTTGAGAACCAAGCCATGTTGCTACCATAGAACCTGCCAATGGATGAGGTAACAATTGATCCTGGAACCAATGTTAAAATGAGAATTGACATCCAATTCTTATCAACTTCTGTCCATGGATTTCAGGTGTATTTGGTGCTTATGATGATCATCAATTCATTCTAAAAGAAAATTAGAGTCAGGCATTTCGATCAATGGAATGATACTCAAGAATGAGTATGGGAGGTTGTGCCTTATTTAAAGAACAGAATTCTGATATTCACTATTGAAGTTTGATCTTCACAGTATAGATGTCTAGAAATGTCTCATGGCTCAAACAAGGGAGATTTCTGATGACATCCAAAAGTAATTGTTGATGCTTACCAGACTGGAAAAAAATTTACAAGATGATTTCCCAAAGAATTTGAACTCCACCAGTCCAGTGTCAGGCAGACTGTATACAAATGGAGGCAATTCAATGCTATTGTTACTCTCCCCAGAAGTGGTCAATCAACCAAGATTGCACCAAGAGTAAGGCATGTAATATTCTGAGAGATATCAAAGATGGAGGAACATCTGACGGCTGTAACCAGGGGGACCTTTTGTCAGGTTCGCCTGATTCGCCAGTTGCGGCCCTTTCTTGATTGGGATTCCCTGTGCACAGTCACACATGCCCTCGTCACCTCTCGCCTTGACTACTGCAACGCTCTCTACATGGGGCTCCCCTTGAAGAGCACCCAGAGGCTCCAACTGGTCCAGAACGCAGCAGCGCGGGTAGTGACGGGAGCAGCATGGCGCTCCCATGTAACACCGCTCCTGCGCGAGCTGCACTGGCTCCCAGTGGTCTTCTGGGTGCGCTTCAAGGTGTTGGTTATCACCTTTAAAGCGCTCCATGGCATAGGGCCTAGCTATCTTCGAGACCACCTGCTGCCACCGACGACCTCCCATCGACCCGTGCGCTCCCACAGAGAGGGCCTCCTCGGGGTGCCATCAGCCAAACAGTGCAGGCTGGTGACCCCCAGGGGGAGGGCCTTCTCTGTGGGGGCACCTACCCTCTGGAATCAATTGCCTCCAGAGATAAGGAGAATCCAAAACCTCAGTGCCTTCCGCCGTGCCCTTAAAACCTTTCTTTTCCAGCAAGCCGGGCTGGCCTAATTTTTTAAGTGTTTTTAAGTGTTTTGTTTATTGTTTTTATTTAATCGGGCCAAATTTATATATATATAACTGTATTTTAATATTTGTACTTGATGTTTTTACTTGGCTGTTCACCGCCCTGAGTCCTTAGGGAGAAGGGCGGTATACAAATTCAAAATAAAATAAATAAAATAAAATAAATAACATCTAAGGAACTAAAAGTGTCTCTTGCATTGGCAAATGTTAGTGTTCATGAGACTATTATCAGGGAAACACTGAACAACAATGGTGTGTGTGGTAGGCTTGCAAGGAAAAAGGCACTGTTCCCTAAAAAGAATATTGTTACCTGTGCACAGTTTGTGAACGAGCATGTGGATATGCCAGAAAATCATTGGAAGAATGCTTTGTGAACTGATAAGATCAAAATAAATTTTTTTGGCTTGAGTGAAAAGTGTTAAATGAGTACTTGTATTGATCTATGACCACAATAAATTGAAACTGAACTGAACTGTGTTCCAGCATACGAACTTTATCTCATCTTTGAAACATGGTGATGGCAATATCACAGTTTGTGCCTGTTTTGTTGCCTCGATATTAGGATGGCCATTAATCACAGGGTTATGAATTCTGAATTGCCCCAGCAAATTCTACAGGAAAGTAACAGGGTATTTGTTCATAAAGTGAAGCTCAAGAGAAAATCAGTCATGTAGCAAAACAACGGAAAACACACAAGTTGTATGACCAAAGAATGGTTAAAACAAAAATTAGTCAATTTTGGGATGATCAAGTCAGTGTCCTGATCATAATGCTATACAAATGTGGAAGAACTTGACGTGTGGAATCCTATCAACATTTCTCTCCAAACCAATGTGCAGGATTGATCAACAGTTATCAGAAACAATTAGTTACAGTTATTGCTGCCCAAGAGGTCACACCAGTTAATGAAAGCAACGGTTCAGATACTTTTGTCACATACAAATATGTAGCTTTAGATCAATTCTCTCAATAAATCAATGAACAAGTACAGGTAGTCCTTGTTTAACAACCATTTATTCAAAGTTACAACAATGTTGTAGTAAGGTGTGGCTGTTGCAGCACCTAAAACTGTGCAGGATTTCACTTAATGGCAGTCGGAACTGCTGCAACTGCTGTTGTATGTTGGCACAGTCATTTAACATTGTACTTTATGAGTATGTCACTTAGCGAACAGAGTTGCCAGTCCCAATTATCATTGTTAAGTGAAGACCGCTTGTATAAAGTTTTTGATCCGTTTGTTTAACTCTTTATCTAGTTTTAAGACTTGTGTGGAGAACAGATTGTGTTTAGGTCATATGTATGCAGAAATATTGAAAACTGAAAAGGATTCACAAACTTTTAAGTGACACTGTATATATAGAGGTAGAGTCCTTTGCTTGAAATCACAAAACAGCTTGCCTGGCTTTTGATTTGTGCAGATTGTGTCAGGGATCCTTCTTGCACAACTGCTCAGAGGCACTTGAGTGCCTATACAGGTAATCCCCGGGTTATGAGCATTCCTTTAGCGAACATTCAAAGTTATGCAATAAGCGCCCCCTAGTGTTTACAAACAAGTTCCGAAACTACGAATGTTGCAGTACCACAGCAGCTGTTTCCCTTTACAAACAACCGTAGAGGCTCTGCAACATTCACCCTGCCTATTCCCCTTCCCTCCTGCGCCAGGTATTCATAGGTACTAGGCCTCTGGATACTCACATTGTGAAGATCTAGAGAGCCTTCACTTTCTTGGCCTGTTTTGGCAGTTCAGGCCTTCGGTGAGTACACAGAGAATGGAGGCCTAAAGTACTGCAAGATCATGCAAGATCAGTAGCATGAGAACTCATGCTATTGATCGCTCGTGGTCTCTCACGGTACTTTAGTTCTCTGTTCTCTGCAAATGGAGGCCTGAATAAGATCTGCAGCAAACAGCTTTGCAAATGGAGGGAAGGCCTTAAACATCGAAGCTTTCCCTCTGTTTGCAAAGCCTTTTGCCATCTTTGCAAAAAACCTTTGCAGCCCAATACAGCTCTGCAGCTCCATTTTGGTGTGCACAGGCCTCATCTGGCACTTTGCAGCCCAAAACAGAGCTCTTGGGAGTGGGGTGCCCCTCCAAAGCTTCGTTTGGGCTGTAAAATGCTGGACAAGGCCTGCACATGTCAAAACGGAGCTCTGGAGGGGTGCTGAGAGGTTGGAGAGGAGACAGCTTGCTAGATGTTTGCACAGTAAGTGACCCGGTATGGCAGGTTGGGGGGAAAGCAATTGTGGGGATCATGTGGTATTTCAGTGGGGCAAGGAGGCCTTGGGTGGTCTTAAGCAGGTAGCCTGTTCCATCACTACCCCCCCCGCATGGCCTTCCCCCCCTGAAATACCTCATGTGCACTTAACGAACTGCACATTCGATTAACGAATGCATGGGCGAAAGGAGGGAGTGATTGCATTCAAGGTACAAAATTCACTCTCACAAATCCTCTGGTTACAAATGGAATGGGCAGGCTCCATTACATTTGTAACTCGAGGACTACCTGTATTCTAGCTGGTCAATGAAAGAGATGCTTGCACTGAGGCTGGTAAGTTGACCTGAGCTTAACTGGGCTGTCTCATCTGCTACTCTTAATGGATGCCAATTACATCCAGTTCTTTTAACTCTCAAATAGTCCTTCTCTCTGAATTTATATATGATCCTAAGCTAGAGGAACAATTTCTTTACTTTTTTTTTTATTGTTTTATCTAGCTATGATTGCATTGTTGTTGGGTTTTGTTGTTTTTTTTTTTTGGAGACTTTTGCCAAAGTTACTGAATTACTGTTTCCAATGGATATTGTGACTTAAAAGCAAAATAAAGCAAAACAATGAAATGTCTCTTTGCCAATCCTGTCTTCCCCTTTCCATTCTTTTTGAATGCTTGAACTCCATTTTCTGCCGGCAGTAAACAAAACCCCATAATTATTTTGTTATTGGTTTGGTTTTGCTCAAAAAACAACAATTCAGCATTAGATGTTAATTATGATAGTCCTGGAAATTATGCACCATGGAGATGCAGATCCATTTGTTAAGGTTGCAGTTACCAAAGACTGAAACCAAAGGATATTTTTCTGACTCAGCGGACAATAAGAAAAAAACAACAACAAAGTTAGTGCCGGCCTAAGCCGTGGGCCTTCCCTGCTAATAATGTGAAGCACTCAAGCCATTATTAGCTTAATGGTTTAATTTAATAGATCTTTCCTGGAGGTAGAATTTATTGTGCAAACAGTGGAGTTAGAAAAAGTAAAGTTAATAATAGCCTGGACTGCAGAACTTGTTAGAGGGACTGGTCTTCAGCGTTAATTACACTTTGAATTTTAAGGAACACTTCTTGCTTATTTCACAAGCCTAGTGTGGCATTTCATTTGCATAAGCCACACTTTCTGAAAATGTATCAGAAAGAGCTGGAGCTCTAAGCAACCCAGGTTAGAATTCATCTGTCCCCAATTATATTTGTGCAGCATAATGTGATAATAACCGGTCAGTGAAGAAACAAAACACCTGCCAAAGCTGTTGAAGCTTGCGTAGAACATACTCATGCCGTGAATGAAAAACACAATGGCTGTGTTCACACTATGATTACCTATGGTTGTCTATGGTTAGATGGGTTTTCTTGGTTTGCCAGCACATTGAATTACAGGTAGTCTTCACTTAATGACTGTAGTTGCGACTGCAACTATTGCTATGTGACATGGTCACATGTGTGACAGCGATTTGTCATTTTGCTGCCAGTTTTCCTATTAACCTTGCTTGTCAGGAGCTGGCTATGAAGGCTCATAAATGGTGACCAGGTAATTTGAGGATTCTGCATTGGTCATAAATGAGCACTGGTTGAA